GAGAGAGAGAGAGAGAGAGAGAGAGAGAGAGAGAGAGAGAGAGAGAGTTAGAGAGGGCGAAAAAATCGAAACAAGTGATAGAAATTAGAAAAATTAGATAGCGAACCGAAAACAAGTTGTTGAAATGTTGAAGTGCGAAAAAATAATGTAATACTATGGGACACCGAAAACATACTTTACGTCAATGTTATTTTGCCTGAAACCCCATCAACAATACGAAAAGCAAGAGGGAAAAAACCATACGCAGAAAGGAATGATTTCGTTATCTGTTCTGGTGGGCTTAAGTGAAGGAGCAAGGTAAGGAAGAAGAAGTAACAACAACAATAACAAAGATTCGTGGAATCGGAAGGTATTAGTGGCAACGCTTACTTTTCCCTGTTCCTTCGTCAGCTCCGCATGGCCTCGTACACAAAATATGCCCGGCGGTGGAGAAGGGGGAGAAAGAGAATATATATCTATATATGGGCAAAGATAAAACCGAAATTCAATATGCATGGAATCAACGCTACCCCATGTCGAACCCATCAATTTTCATATTTACCGCTGCCACATCAACTGCAATACAAACATGCAAAACCAAATAAATACCAATTTCAAATGAAGTATCAAAACACCGTTTCTTATTTTCGTTTGCACTTAAATACAACATTTTTGAGGCTCATTTTATTTCATAGTGTATTCCCTTGTTCCAGAGTAACAAATAACAAAAATGAATTTGTTAGATTTTGCCAATTTTTGTGTATGCTTTACGACAGTCTATCAAAATGAACTCATTATCTGAGTAGTACAATGGATATTGTGATTTTGTTACAGTTTGTGTTATCCGTTTCTCTTGACTTGAGTCAATTTTTCTATTAAATGTGAGTTTTTTGTTTTTGTAGCCACGGAAATTCACTTTTTTTCAGTATTTGTGTTACTTTTTATGCTCTAAAGGCATAGAAAATGTGGTGAAATATCGATGTATCAATATTTGAATAGAATAATCATCGATATCGTCTTCAAGGATTATTAGAGAATTATCGCTCACAAATATTTTTGAATTTGAATGGACTCAAACCAGGAGAACACAGTGATCTACATGGGTAACAATGCTTGCGGAATAATATTTATAAGTATAAATTCTAAATATTTTAATCATATTTCCTTGATCGATTGATAGAAACTATTTGGTTCGTCTATAACCCAACACACTGATACAAATTACATTTAAACCAATTTATAAAATTATCAAAAAAAAATAATGTGTTCAATTGTATCGGCAATTAGAAAAACAAAACGGTACAAATTTACTTTGCACAGACAAACGCAACGAAGAAAAGACAGAGAAAAAAAATTCAACTGAAACGTAATTATTTCCGTCCATTTATGGGCATTTTTGAAATAGAAAAAGAAAGAAAAGGTGTAGAGCTTGAGTAAAAAGCCGGTTTTAAACACTAAAATGCAGTCGCAAGTATCGTATATAATATCGTTTGTAATGTGGCTAATTTCTAGTAATTCGTTCCGTAATTCCATACCGGATCAATCATCGAGATTGATGATTTTACCATTCGGTCGTTGTGTTTGTGTATTTGAATTTCGCGCGTGAACCCAAACACCGAAAATTTGTTATTGAATCTCTCTATCTAAATTAATAAACGCGATCCTGATAGCTATTGTCTTGGGTGCGATTTTGCATTTGGCTGGCGTTCATTTGCTGATAGTGTCGCATCATGTGGCCTGGCCGACGTGGCGGAGCCAAATACTCGAACATACTTTGCAAATGATGCGACAACATTTTGCTTAGATCGCATGGCATTGGATCCGACCAGAAGAAATCATGATTCAGTGCGGCATCCGCATCGATTCGCGTCTTTGGATCCAATTGCAATAGTTTGTCTAGTAAATCACAGCCATGCGAATCTTTAACATAGGCTTTCAGTCGATCTTTCACCTTTCGCTTGTGTCCCATTGGCAACTCCATTTTCGAATAGAGCTCCAAATCCTGCACACCTGGCCACACCTGAGAAAGTAACAAACAAAACACAAAAAAAATTTGTTCAATTTTGTAGAATGGACACAGATTGAGAGTCAATAGAAATCGCAGTTTGAGTATCGATTCCAAAGAATTTAGTGATTTTTGAATAAAAAACCGCTTACTTCTGGTGTGAAGGAGCCACAAAGCTGTGAAATGAAAATGATCTGTTGTTGTTCGGTATTTCCCTGCATGATTGGTGATCGCGTCCACATTTCAGCCATTATACATCCCGCGCCCCACATATCGACCGGTGGCCCGTAGTTTCGATCGCCCAGAAGAAGTTCTGAGTTTCA